GGGATGTAAAAAAAGAAAAGAAACAAAAAAAGAAAATGTAAATAATTTTTACCTTGTTGCATAAGGATGGTGTGAATCGACAGAACTCTTTGGAGCTATTAGTGGTATATGCTAATATGTCCAAACACTTAGAAGTAGAACGCACCCACCAATACTTTTGACCCCTACCATACATGCTTAACACATATGCCTATATAATGTAGCTAAACAAGCAGAACCCCAACTATATCTATTGCATTTATCTAAATCTCCTACTAGGGGTATCCAAGAAGAATGTAAATAGTTATGGCTCTTGTCTGACATTAATACTTTAGCTATGAGTAGTAAAATATATATTTTTGCATGGAGAATGTTATCCTCATCGGATGGTGTTGGGTTTTTCCGTAATTGTGTTAATATAGTTTGTAGCCAAACAATTTTAGCACATGTTTTACGTTTATCGGATGTTGAAGGTTCAATACCTAAATTTTCCATATATACATCACCGTCTACCTGAGTAGGACCATTCACAACCTTGTCATTCACACGAAGACCTAATAACATACTTACATCCTCCAAAGTGATGGTACATTCACCTGTTGGAAGATGGAAAGTATGTGTTTTTGGTATCCACCTCTCCAACATAGCGAGTACAAGCTTTGAATCAACTTTGATTGAGGTGATTTCTGCAACTTTTGTGAAACTTGCTCGTTCCAAATACGGTTTGATTGCGTCACTTGGTACATCGATAGCATGAGAATGTAGTCTAATCTCTCGCTGTCGTACTGTTTCAAATATTGAAAAATAAATACAAACTTGATAATGTAATATTAAACACAAGCATGAAGAAAAAAAAACTTACAAATGCGGAAACATTGGTCGGTGTTCCCCGATGATTTTCTCCCATCCACAACATTTCCATTTAGAAGTATTGATTTAGAATGTTATTTTTTTCAATGCATATGAATAAAAGCTTCTTGCTATTTATAAGAAAAATATATGCACCCTAATACTACATGAGACATACAATTGTCTGTTGGAAAACTACATGCCTAATACTACACTGCACCCTACTATGATTCCTCTGCACCCTAATACCTAACTGCACCCTATTATGATTCCTCTACACCCTAATTCTACCATCTGCAACCTAACTCTACTATCTGCACCCTATGCCATGCAATGACACATGGTTAGCATGCAATTTTCCTTTTCAATGGTTCGCCCTTTGGATGGCCGAACCTATGCACTTGCTTCATGGGTCCGTCCTTTGGATGGACGACCCTACACGTGGGAGGCAAGGGCTCGTCCTTTGGATGGACGTCCCTACACATGGTCAGCATGCAGCCATCCTTTGGATGGATGACCCTACACGTGGTCAGCATGCATAATTGGACTATATATTTTGCATGCAAGTGTTGTAGTCTACACATCCAACTCCCACACTGTCTGTATCAAAATATCATGATGGCAGATAAAAATACAATAGTCACCATGCACTATAATGGTTTCGTGTTTACTGATGAAAATATTGGTTTTTCATTCAACGGAACCAATATGGTGATGTTCAAACTTCATCGAAGTTCTGATATCCTTCATCTAAAAGAAAGAATCGGAAAAAAAAAGTGCATCGTTCAATTCAGGATATTATTTACCGTCAACCATTACCTAATGGGGTAGATGGTGGTGTATTCTACGTAATGATGCAGATAGATACAGACAGCGTAGTCAAATCAATGTTTCAATGTCATTACACAATGCCTCATTTGAAGACGATTGAGTTATATATTCGCCTTGATGACGAAGCATATCCAACGCAATCATCATATTCGCATCAATACAGAGTGAGCCAAACAACTGATGAAGAAATAACGCAAAATAATGAACCTTTCATCCGGGACGAGGAGGTTGGTGAATACAGTGATGATGAACTCGATGATGTTCGCTTTGAAGATCTATTCGGTGATGGCGATAACGAGGATGACGATGAACCCGTGCATTCACAAGTAATAAATGCTCAACCCATAAATCTGTATAATCCACCAGTGCATATGTCAAACATATGTATGGAGTCTTCTCAACCCATCTATATTTTTGAAAATGACAAACCAAACCATATTGGTGAAAACTTGGAAGTAGGTTTGGTGTTTGAAAATAAGGAAGCGTGTGTTATTTTTTTACAACATTGGTATATTAGTAACAACCTTGACTATGCAGTATATAAATCTGATTCAGTAAGGTATATAATAAAATGTAAGAACCCACAATGCATCTTCAAATGTAGAGCTGCATTGCATAAAAAAAGCACATTGTGGGAGATCTCTACTATAAGAGGATCACACACTTGCACAACAACTTCTATGTCACAGGATCATAGAAAATTAGATTCTGAAATTATTAGCCACATCATCAGAGAACTTGTTAACAGCGACGCTTCACTAAAAGTCAAAGTGATACAAGCCCATATTCCTGAAAAATACGGTTATAGAATCTCATATCGAAAAGCTTGGATTACAAATATTAAAGCTGTAGAATCACTTTATGGGAATTGGGAGACGTCTTACAATGACCTACCATAATGGTTGTTGGTGATGAAGACATATCTTCCTGGAACTGTTATACAGTTGGAAACATTGCCGATTATTACAGAGGACGGGTCCCAATTGGGTGACAAACGAAAATTTCACCGACTTTTTTGGGCATTTGAACCGTGTATCCGTGGTTTTACTCACTGTAAACCGATTGTGCAAATTGACAGAACCTGGTTTTACGACAAGTACAAAGGGACTTTGTTGATGGTTGTGGCACAAGATGGAAATGGTAACATTTTCCCGATAGCATTCACATTGGTTGAAGGAGAGACAAAGGATGGTTGGAGTTTCTTTCTCAGGAATTTGAGAATGAACGTGACCCCCCAGGCCAATATTTGTCTAATATCCGACCGACATCCATCAATCAAGAGTGCTTACGACGATCCTGAAAATGGGTGGCAGTTTCCTCCATCTTCACATGTTTACTGTATCAGACACATTGCATAAAACTTCATGCGTGAGTTCAGAGACAAAGAACTACGGAAAACAGTTGTCAACATGGGTATGTCTACATCTTCACGAGTTGATGTTTCAATTTTTTTTATTGACTTATTGATTTTCATATATTTTATTGAACATTTTGTTTAAACATTTTCATCTACAGGATATGCACTAATAGAGGCAACATTTAACTACTACAGGGACGAAATACGAAGAACAAATAGAGCAGCTTTGGAGTGGATAGACAATATTCCCAGAGAGAAGTGGTCGAGGGCGTTCGACAGAGGACAGCGGTGGGGACACATGACAAAAAATTTGGCCGAAGCTATGAACTCGGTACTTAAGGCTACCCGAAACCTTCCTATTACAGCATTGGTCAAGTCAACGTTCTATCGTCTGGGATCGCTGTTTGGAAAACGAGGACACGATTGGACAAAACTATTGGCATCCGGTCAAACTTTCACGGAAAACTGTAACAAGGGAATGGTCGACGAAGTGATTAAATATAGCAGCCATAATGTCATTCAATTTAATCGCGAGAGATTCTATTTTATGGTTGCCAAAAGCATTAATCAACGCGATGACCGACCATTAGGTACTTTTAGCGTTGATCTCAAGAGAGGGTGGTGCGATTGTGAGAGGTTTCAAGCATTTCATTTACCTTGCTCCCATGTAATCGCAGCATGTGCCAGTATACGACAGGACCACAACATGCACATACCAGATGCTTTCAAGGTTCTGAGTGTATTCAAAGTATACAGCGAAAGCTTCCTTGGACTTCCACACCAGCAAAATTGGCCAACATATGAAGGATTCGCTCTTTGCCATGACGAGACAATGCGAAGGAATAAGAAAGGGCGTCCAAATAGTACAAGAATTACAACTGAAATGGACGATTTTGAGAAAGAAAAGAGAAGATGTGGAATATGTCGAGAAATTGGTCATATGCGTAGAAAATGTTCGAACGTGGCAAGCCCGTCAAATCGGCCCGTCTAAATTATTTTATTTGTTTTTCAAATTATTTTCTATATTATTTCTTAATTTGTAATGTCTAATATATAAGTTATTAATATGTTAAATTATGTAGTGAATTTTTAATATTTAAATGATAATGTCTATTATTTTATATAATTTAATTAGTTAAACAATTAATTAGATAATATGAAAAATATTTAATAATATTAAAAAATTATTTAAATTAATTAAATTATTTATTTATTAATATTTTAAATCATATAATAAAATTTAATAATTAAAAAACAATTTAATATATAAAATTATAATATATATTATATATTTCTTTTTAGAAAGAAAAATAAAATCGTAGCATAGGATCGGTCATCCATTGACCGAATCTCAACATGACATTTTCCTCCTCAATGAATCGTCTATTGAAAGGACGAATCTAAACTAAAAGATAGTATTTTGGAAATTTATTTTTAAAATAATAGAATTTTGTGTTTTGCATTTCAAATATTGGCCATCGAATGAAATCCACTTAATTTTCTAATAAAACTTAACTACATAACCTAATGATGACTCTTCGAGCCAAAAAAGGAACATGACAGTACTCACAAGAAAACAAAACAACATTAACTAAAAAGAAATAAAAGAACAAAAACACATTTCAAAAGAAAGCTTCCGAGAAAGTTGCATTTAAATGTATTTTGTTCTATTTTAGAAAGCATTGTCGCTTTACTCGCTCATGACAACGTGGATAAACCCAAAATCACTCATCATTTTCTCTCTCTCTTTCTTTCTCATTCACCATCCATGCAGAATAATGTTGTCATTAACTAACAAAACCGAAACCTATTTCCCTTAATATTCAACTCCTGTCCTCTCTCTCTTATCCCTTCATTTAACACAGATGTTCTACTCTCAAGCGATTTCTTTGCCATTGTAATATATTCATCTTTTGTTTTGTGGTCGCCGGCGCCACCCTTCACCGTCGGTACCTGACACGCCTTTCATCTTTGTCTTCGCCTCATGGGCCAACCAACTCGCCGTGAGTCATATTCCGGTCCCTTACCGACGACCGCGTTTCATAAGGATCGTCATTATCATCATCACCATCACTATCATCATAGTTATCCTCATGACCAGCGTCTATTCGAGTTTACTGATAAAGAGGAGGCTAATAAATTAGTCTCGCCTTTTGGCAAACTCGAACGCTTGAGTCTGGATGATATTAGGGAATCGGCCTATGAAATATTTTTCACGGCTTGTCGATCGTCTCCTGGGTTTGGCGGACGGAATGCACATTCATTCCATTCGAATAATAATAATCAGAATGAGTCCAAGCCGAGCAACGTGGTGATGTCGCCGACGAGTAGGGTGAAGAAGGCTTTAGGTTTGAAGATGTTAAAAAGGTCACCGTCGAGGAGAATGACGTCGGGTGGAAATAGTGGAGGGTCGTCCTCGCCAATTGGCGGAGGCAGCCCTTATCATCACTCCATGTCGATGTCGAGGCCGCGGAGGCCGATGACATCTGCAGAGATCATGAGACAACAGATGAGAGTGACAGAGCACGATGATAATCGCTTGAGAAAAATTGTAACGAGGACCCTTGTTGGCCAAGTAAGTATACACACAACACTATTAGAACAAATTGAATTAGCAATCAAATTTAGAGACGGAGAAAATGACATTTATTAATAACTTTTCCGTCTAAATTTAGTGACGAAATTAGAGAGGGATATATTTTCATCTTAAATATTTTCTTGTTTACATTTGATTTCGTTACCATAGCTATAACATGTATAGCACTTACAATATTGCATGCTATTGTTGTAACTTGTAGCACCAACACCTCTTAAATAAGGTGTGTCCGTGTCAATTTCGGACAGGAACATTGAGGTGTGTCCGTGTCAATGTTCCTGTCCGAAATTGACACCAACACTTGTGATTTCGTTTAATTTATTCATTTATTCAAATTATTATCTGTTTTGACGTGTCAGTGTCGGTGTCGTGTTTCCAGTGTCCGTACATCATAGATTCTAACTGTATAAAATGTTTGAGTTGCAGGTAGGAAGAAGGGCAGAAACAATAATTCTCCCATTAGAACTTATACGTCATCTAAAACCAACAGAATTCAGTGATTCTCATGAGCACCATATGTGGCAGAAGAGACAGCTCAAAGTCCTTGAACTAGGCCTTCTTATACACCCTTCAATACCAGTAGAAAAAAACAACACATTCGCGACACGCCTGAGAGACATCATACGTAGTTGCGAGTTGAAGCCATTAGACACCGGCAAAAACTCAGACACAATGAGAACACTTTGTAACTCAGTTGTTTCATTAGCATGGAGAGGTCCAAATGGAACACCAACTGATAATAGTCATTGGGCTGATGGTTTCCCTCTCAACATTCACTTTTACAATTCGCTTCTTCACGCTGTTTTCGATATTCGAGATGATACATTAGTACTCGATGAAGTTGATGAATTACTTGAGTTGATTAAGAAGACATGGTCTATGTTGGGAATAACTAAGCCAATTCATAATGTGTGTTTCTCTTGGGTTTTGTTTCAACAATATGTATTAACTGGTCAAGTTGAACCTGATCTTCTTTGTGCTTCACATGTTATGTTGAGTGAAGTTGCTAATGATGCTAAGAAAGAAAAAGAATCTTCATATCTTAAGTTGTTGACATCAGTTTTGACTTCAATGCAAAGTTGGGGTGAGAAGAGGATGCTTAATTATCATGAGTTTTTCCCTAGAGGAACTACTTGTCAAATTGAAAGTTATCTTCCTTTGGTTTTGTTGGCCTCGAAGATTTTGGGTGAAAATCTGGTGATATCTGAAGGGAAAGGAAGAGAGAAAGGAGACGTTACCATTGTCGATTCGTCTGGTGATAGGGTTGATTTTTATATTAGATCTTCCATGAAAAATGCATTTGACAAGGTTTGTATTTTACCTATATCTTTCATTTTCCTTCCTTTCTTATAGTGTTCTTAGATACGGACACGACACCGATATTTATGATTACGTTCAGTTTATTCATTTTTTCAAATTATTATCAGTATTGACTTGTTAGAGTCTATGTTTGATATTTGTTCCTGTGTCCGTGCTTGATAGTTATAAAGAAAGAAAAAAGATTTAGAGATCATTTACAGAAAATATTGATTGCAGGTGATTGAGGTAGTGAATGCAAAGTATGCTGAGATGCAAATAAAAGGAGAACTAAGTGCAATTCTGCTTCACCTAGCTCAAGAGACCGAAGATTTGGCGATAAAAGAAAGACAGAGTTTTAGTCCAATGTTAAAGAAATGGCACCCTGCAGCAGCTTCAGTTGCAGCCTTGATGTTGCACAGTTGCTATGGCCATGTGCTAAGGCAATATCTAAGTGATGTGACTTCACTCACTTGTGAGGCAGTTGAGGTACTTCAAAGAGCTGGAAAATTAGAAAAAGTTTTTGTTCAAATGGTTGTTGAAGATTCTATTGAGGGTGATGATAATGGCAAAATAGTTGTGAAAGATATGGTTCCTTATGAAGTTGATTCAGTTATATTGAACCTTTTGAGAAAATGGATAGATGAATCATTGTATAAAGGAAGGGAGTGTTTGCAAAGAGCAAAAGAAACTGAAGTAAGTTTTGGTTTTGTTCTTCTTCTTTGCTTCAAACCTTATGTTTGGATTGGTTTATTTGAATTAGCGTATCTATGATTTTACGGTTGGAACGCTTAGAAGTTGATAAGCACTTTTTTTACTACAGACATGGAATCCAAAGTCTAAATCAGAGCTATATGCACAGTCAGCAGCAGAGTTTATGAAATTGGCCAAGACAAGTGTGGAAGAATTCTTTCAAATTCCAATAGGAATAACTGATGAGTTAGTTCAAGAACTTGCTGATGGATTGGAAGGTCTCATCCAAGACTACATGATGTTTGTTGCAGCATGTGGTAAGTATTGTAAATCGAAAAAAGTTAATTTGATTACTCAAAGGCCTATTTAGACGGACTTATTAGAAATTATCAACTGATATAAGTACTTATGGAAACAAATATCTATACTTTTTTCAGGTTCAAAACAAAGCTATATTCCTGTACTTCCTTCATTAACAAGATGCAGCCGGGATTCGAAGATCCTCCAGCTGTGGAAGAAAGCATCTCCTTGTGCTACAAACTTATCAGAGCTAGATCATATAACTGGAACAAATGAGGGTCACAATCCAAGACCATCGACTAGCCGAGGCACGCAACGCCTATACATTCGTCTCAACACCTTACACTACCTTCTTGCTCACGTCCATTCTCTCGAAAAATTGCTATCACAAAACCTCGGCCTAGTCCCTTCCACAAGACATTGCTTCACTAACAACCTTAAAACACAAAGCAACAAAAGCGGTGCATATTTCGAAATACTAAACTCCGAAATTCAAGCAGCACTTCAACATGTTTCCGAAGTAGCCGCGTACCGTCTCATATTCCTCGACTCAAACTCGGTCTTCTACGAGAGCCTCTACGTGGAAGATGTTGCCAACTCGCGAATTAGGCCTGCTTTAAGAATCTTAAAACAGAATCTCACATTCATGACAACACTATTACTAGATAGAGCTCAACCAATGGCTATGAAAGAAGTGATGAGAGCCTCCTTCGATGCATTCCTAATGGTTTTGCTTGCTGGTGGAAGTTCAAGAGTGTTTAACCGGTCGGATCAGGCTATGATCCAAGAGGATTTCGAGAGCTTGAACAGAGTTTTCTCCACTTGTGGTGAAGGATTGGTGTCAGAAAATGTTGTGGAGAGAGAGGCTGCAGTTGTGGAAGGTGTAATAGGATTGATGGGACAAAATACTGAACAATTGATGGAAGATTTCAGCATTGCAACAAGTGAAACAAGTGAGGTTGGAGTTATGAGCAATAATGGACAGAAATTTCCTTTGCCTCCTACAACTGGAAGGTGGCATAGATCAGATCCTAACACAATATTGAGAGTTTTGTGCCATAGAAATGATAGAGCTGCAAATAATTTCTTAAAGAGGACTTTCCAATTACCAAAGAGGAGATGATATGCACCAGCGGCAGGACCGTCTTTGAGAACGTGCAAGGCGGACTACAGAGTCCAAGATTTGTCATCACAGTTAAGCCGTGACTAAATAGCACCTCCATTTGTTGTGTCATGTTTAAAATACGATTACACATGACCTGCAAAAACATGAGCCGGCTCTGCGGTGAAATAAATATGTTTACACTGTCAACCAATCATAATTCCAAATCATTAAAAAATACTTGAATTTAATCATAAAAATCATACAAACAATTTAATTTATGATTGATTGGTTGACATTGTAAAAAATATTTGGACTCTAACATATAAAAATTTGCAGTGACAGAATCTGTGCTGAATTGTATATTTACACAGATATTCTTTAATTTTTTATGGGAGAAAAAAAGAGAGAAAAATGGGATTTTTTTTATTTGTGGATAGTTTGTTGATATTGCATATAGTCTATGAGTAGCATCTATAGCTGGAATATGTTACCAGCAGTTAAGCTACTGTTAGTCTAAATTGCAGATTACAGAAAACAGAAAGAAAATATGCTTTTTTTTTTTCTTTCTAAGTTGTGTGAACTATAGATGGCTTTATGCAAGGGCAGCATTTATCTGTATCTACTTAGTTAATGTAAATATATTGTTGATATTTATAAATAAATTGTTTTGGAAAAAAAAAATTATAAATACATTTATGAAGAAAGGGCATTGTTAATAATGCTTATTACCAAATATACAAATTGTAGTAACAAAATTTAATGTAACTATACTGTAAAGTAAATATACATCTATAAAAAATAATATGATGCAATATTATTTATAAACAAAACCCTAGCTACAAACCCTAGCTAGGTCTTTGATATCTTCCATGTATGGCCAGCAACATTCATTTCCTTAATAGGACAGTGTGTACCACCACTTCCTGGGATATATGAACATCCAGAAGGCCCTGATGGAGCCACAGGACCCTTATCAAGAGCCTGCAACCTAAGCTGTTTCCACTTCTCCATGTTCAAAACCCTACCAGCAAAACATGGCCTCACATACATTATGGTAAGAAGTAAAAGAAGTATTAAAGCAATGTTGAAAACCCTCATGGTGTGTTGAAACCAATTTGAGGCTTAATTTGTATACCTTGCGAGAGGTGGTTGTTGGTATTTATATATACATATATTGGTAGGTAGGTGCGTGCATGCTAGTTTTAAGACTTAATTTCGTGACTAATGTATTTTATTGTTAATTGAAGGTTTTTGACTAATGACTATACTATTAGTAGGATTTAAGAATTGATGTCGAAAGTTTAGAAAAATATATGTATGAATTGGTCATAATTTATGCGTGTTACCAAAGAAATTGAATTAACGGTTTTATTCATAAGTGACTTTCCACGTAATTGAGATATATATATATATATATATATATATATATATATATATATATATATATATATATATATATATATATATATATATATATATATATATATATATATATATATATATATATATATATATATATATATATATATATATATATATATATATATATATATATATATATATATATATATATATATATATATATATATATATATATATATATATATATATATATATATATATATATATATATATATATATATATATATATATATATATATATATATATATATATATATGTTTATATTGTATGTATTAGATCTTTTTTATATTAGGTATACCTCATTTTTATAAAATTAATTTGTAAAAAGATAAATGTTTATAAACTCTATCTTTTTCAACCAACCTAATAGGTTGTATAAATGATATGTGATCCCCATTGATTATCATAGAATTATTTAGTTTTTTCAATTGATTTGGAGACTTTGGTCTGTTAGATATAGTGTAAATATAAATGAAAGATAATCTAAAGATTTATATTATATTTAACTTAATTATACACAATTATAGTGTCGTATCTTGAAAAATATAATCTTTAACGATGGATGCGGAAAAATTAGTTCGAATAGAGTCGCTATCGAACTTTATTTATTCTAAAGAAGGAATAAGAAAATATCGATAAAACCTTTAAAAACTGAAAATGGTCATCGCAACCATATTCGAGTTTGGGAGTTGATTACGCAAAGGGAATGTATTAACACCCCTCACGTACGTTGTACTCAACGGGAACCTCTTAGTTAGATTTGCGATTTGAATGTTAGCTCATATTATTTGCTTTCTTCGAGTGGTAAAATGATTAAAAAGATAAAAGAAAGAAAACTGCCAAAAGGGAAAACGAGAGGTTTTTTATTAGGGTGTTCGCCAAGGATTGGGGTCCTTGTGCCTACGTATCCTCTTAATAAAATGAGGAATCAGAGCATTCGTAGTTCGGAGGACTGCGATTTTTTGGTTTGTGTTTTTTAATGAACGAGTGCTTAGATCGCGTTCTAAGGACTAAACATTGATTTTTCTACTCGCCGGAGGGTGGCTTAAGCACTAGTTTGTATGCGCATTAGAAGTGAGTAAACAATGTTCTTTTGCAAAAAAGTTGTTTAATCGCACAGAGGCGAGTAATTAGGTTAATTGGTTTCAATTGCACGGGGGCGAGAAAAGAGAGTTTGATGGGTTGAGATATTTTGAGTTTATGAGAGAGCTCGAACGGTCGAGAACTACACCTCATGTCTTTACTCTCAGGAGATCAGTGACTACACCCTGCTCCTTTTTTATCTTATTTGAGAAAGAGGTTCAATATTTTTATGGGTTTTTGAATTTTGATTGAGAAAGTGTCACTTGACGTTGGATCAACGGTTTTAATGTCGCGAGGTGATTATGAAAATGGTTTGAAATTGAAATGGGATAGGTTGATGGTGACACATGAAGCAATCAACTTACAAGTTAGGTGTGGCTTGATGTACGGATCAAGAATGCTTTGGATTGGGTTGATGGCAATGCACAAGGCGATCAACTTTTAAAGATTAAGAGAGAATACCACTTGACGTTGGATCAAGGGTTCGAGGAAAAGGTGAGGTTAATCCTAGTTCCCAAGGAAATCTAGCAAGTGAAATCAAATCAAAGGAAAGCAGAAAAGTAAAGAAAGTACATCAAAATAGGGAGAGGGATACATGAAAAATACAAGGGAAGTATGTGAGAAGTAAAGGGTCTTGTTAACAGGTAGTCCAAGAGAAAGTCGTGTGTGTGCAAGGTGTCCTAAGTTAAGACAACGAAAATAAGAGTCCAAGTCTTCTTTTTCTAGGGTGAAACATTAAGTTCAAAACTCCATAATACTAAGGTCATCTGCACAATCCATAGTTCATTTATGTCTCACAAGTTTTTTAGGTCTTTTCTATTTTATCATGTTTTTGTTCTTTTTAATAAGATAAAAAATAAAAGTCAAAGAAGAAGAAAATGACATAAAGTAAAGACATGAATGATAAATGAGCAATGAAGTAAATTGCGGAAAGTAAATGGCGAGAAGTAAATTACAAAAAAATAAAGTGCAAGAAAGTAAAGTTAGATGTTAGAAGTTAGTAGTTAGTGTTTAACGATCGAATGATCAATTTACCGAATCGGGACAATTTAGCGATATGTTAAACAATTCTAAGTGGACTTATGTAAAAGTCGCACCTATTTGAGGCTAGTCAATAACAATTTATGTGCTCAAATATGTTAGAAAAATGCTACAAAATCATTCTCCTAAAACATGTAGCACAATGATAAAAAGATGAAGCAAATTCAAATCGGCACAATAGTCTCATCTATCATCAAGAGATTCAAAGTATGATCAATCAAGGGCAACCTATCAACACTTCAAAGTGTTAAAAAATTATCCAATGATTGGTCTTGCCCCAATTTGAACTTGTTAATGGTTTGCCCCAGATTAACCAGTTCTGAAGTCGAAGCTGAACTTTGATGACTTGCCCCTGCTCGAGCCATTGAAACGATTTGCCCCAGCCTGTGGATTTTGAGGTAGTCTTGCTTCGTGACAGCCACTGAAAGTCAAGTTCCTCCTTAATTGCCCCTTGTTGAAACGTCTAGCACTGTTTTGCAATTAAAATTGTACACCCACAAATGGTAATATTAATGCAAAGTTTAATGCAAGTTTGAAAAAGTATCGTTTATTTGAGAGTGTCGTGATAGTAAGACGAATGGACTGTTAGCCCGGACGTAGTGCTAATTTTGATTGGTGTAGAAGATATCGCAAGGATAATGACACCAATGCTGATGATTAACAATCATGTGAGGAGTCAGGTTACGCAACCTTGCAATAGTATGCTTTCAGAATAAACCTTGCCTCGATTAGGTCTTTCGAGGGTTGTAACGTGGTCTGGTTCACGGTTATGAAACAAAGGATATTAGGCTCAAAAGTATGATTTGTACCCACCCATTCTTCTTAATGATCTCCAGTCCTATGCTCAGTTAATTCTACACTTGTCTTGACGGTATAAACTTGATGATTCAAGGTTTGCTCGTCGTGGCAGTCACCTTATTTTGGTTTTTTGATGGACGTCAGTGCCCCTTTTGATTTGGGTGGCCACTGAATATTATTTTGTTTTTGTTGAGGGTCCCAGGGTCCTCTTTTGCTTTTGTTTTTGATCCCTAACTTTTGCATGGATTGATTTTGCTTGTCAGATCCATCGGGATTGCCTTGATTTTTTTTTAAGTCCCTTCTGAGGTGTTTGACTTAGCAGGATTTTTGATTTTTATTTTTTGGGAAGGTTGTGACTGCCATAGCATGGGTCATTGCTTGTTGATTCAAGTGCAGAGTTGAATTGACTGAACACTACCCTGCCCCAGGTTGAGTGTAAAGGTTTGAATATCCGAAGCAAACTGCTACTTCTAGGCTCGAAGTGGTTTACTAGGGATTAACTCCTTATATCTCCGGTGTATGGGGATTGAAACAATGCCTGTACATCATTGACAAGATTCTATCTGAAAGCATACGCGTTTGCAATTATGGGTATCTTGTTTTCATCATCCTCCCTCAAATCATGCTAAACAACAGTGAATAGAGTGGAGTGAATAAACATGTCGGTGATAAG